GTGTGCGGCAGTCGTCTGCGAGGGGCTGCCGCTTTACTTTCGTTTTGTGTTTGTTTATTTTATTAAAGTTTTGTTTGAATGTTCGCCGGTTCCCGCCTCCTTCTTCCCGAACTACGAACTGTGTTACAGTAGCACAGTAAAGATTCCATTTATATGAATGCATTAGTGAGAGAGCAATTGCATGTGTGAATTAATTCTACCTGGCAGCGTCTCTCTGCTAAAAGTGAAGCTGTGGGTTTTAGTTACTAAGAAATATATACTAGGACTTTTCAGTTTATAAGCTATTTTATTGAGAAATCACAGAACAGTGTTGACAATACATTTCCGCGCTACTGAATGATTCTGTGTGTGTGCGATGTACGAGCTACTGTCTGTAGCCTGTGTGTGTGCGTTACTATCAAAGTCCCTTTAAGGCAAGTCATGTCACTCATCTTTAAAAACGACTCTCGGGCATGCAAGTGCAGCTCCAATCTCTTTGAATGGGGAAACATCAAATTCTCCAAAACTGTTCGCCAAGCTTAAGATTAAATTTCATATTTGAAATCACCAATGAAATCTGACAACAACTGTCTCATAAATGTTGTTTCTTTTGCTCAAATAGCATTGAAAAAAGCTTATTTTTCAAGCTATACCAGCCAGTGTGCAAGTGCAGTCCTGAGCGCACGTCTCAGAACGCTGACTGTTTCTATAGCAACCGGGACTTATAATGGCAACTGCAGTGACACGCTGAGTTTACCGATTAGCTATTGGCTCTTTTACTCAGAAGGCGGGGCTTCGTTCGATAGAGCCTCCAAAACTGTTCGCCAAGCTTAAGATTAAATTTCATATTTGAAATCACCAATGAAATCTGACAACAACTGTCTCATAAATGTTGTTTCTTTTGCTCAAATAGCATTGAAAAAAGCTTATTTTTCAAGCTATACCAGCCAGTGTGCAAGTGCAGTCCTGAGCGCACGTCTCAGAACGCTGACTGTTTCTATAGCAACCGGGACTTATAATGGCAACTGCAGTGACACGCTGAGTTTACCGATTAGCTATTGGCTCTTTTACTCAGAAGGCGGGGCTTCGTTCGATAGAGCGGCCATATTGAGCATTGCATTTTTCCCCATTCAAAACTATATGAGTGACATGTCTTGGGTATTCTATAGTCTTATGAAGCAGCGCATTAGATTAGACTAACTTGTACAATAAGCTGTTAAAAACATGCATTCTCCAGTTCAATTTCGAGTATCCAGTTGGTATAATCACACGTTTTGTGGAGCGCTTTTGAAGTATGCATTTATTTGAATTTTAACTGTTTGGAAACGGAGCGTAAATGTGGACTTCAATGATTTCTTATCTAGCGACTAGTTGACGTCAAGCTTAAAGCGTCATGGCAGAGCATTAAAGTCACCTAATCGACTAGTCATCTAGTCTGTGCAACTCCTACTATGGTGTATTCAAATTGGTACTAATAAAAAATATCTACCAATAATATTTGAAATGAACAAAGTAGCCATTCTGATTCATTATTACATATGACAAGCAAAAGAGCAAGTGTCAATAGCATAATAAGAGATAAGTAATGTTAACCTGTTAACCCGCACCTGGATACCGGCGCACTGAACGCTCTTTGTTTGCACGTGTCAATGTTTACGAATAGATTAAATGAAAAGGGACATAATTAATCTTGACAAACTATATATCATTCTAAAGGTCTAAGCCTCAAGCATCGACGATAGATCGCTGTTTTTCAATGGAAAGCTTATAAAGAATGTATTTGCTAAATTTGTGTAAGCAGTACACATCAAAACATGCATAATAAAAACGCAATACATACCAGGTTCATTGTAATAACGAGTCATAAACGCATCCACAGCAGTAAATCCCGGTTTAATTAGAAAGGTAAGGGTCCACTGAACAACATCCCATAGAGCACTTTTAGTTCCACGAAACAATAACGTTGTAATATGGATGGTAATTCCTTTGTTTACGTCTCATTTCTTCTGGGACAGTTATTGTTTGTATCCGTTATGGAATAACTTGCGCTCAAAAAAACTGCATCTTGGTAGTAAAAAGCAACATGGTTTTGTAGCATACAGTGTCACAAACAGAATGATACCATCCACAAAAAAAAAGTCAAAGATACACAGAATATTGTTTATTTGAATTCTGGCACTCTCTCGTGATGGCTCATGATGCACGCTTTAACGCACCTGTCATCTGTAGGGGCCTAACTTAGCGATCGGCTTTTTGCACAATTTTTTTGTTTTCTTCAACATTTTTCATATGTTTGTGTGTTTTGTGGGGAATGTGGCTGTATCTGCATGATTACCATCTGTATGACTGCACATCAGCGTGTGATTACTGTCTGTATGACAGCTATCAGTGTGAATGTGGTCTATATGAACGGCATTAGTGTGATTATTGACTATATGGCCGGCCATCTGTATGATTACCATCTGTATGACCGGCCATCAGCATGTGATTACTGACTGTATGAACAGCTATCAGTGTGAATGCTGTATGTCTAGCAAACTCAGTGTGTACTTGACATGCATAGTTAATTCTTTTTTCTTTTCTTATTTATTTGTATTACTTTTTTCTTATTTATTACTTAAAATTATTATTATTTTATTTTTCTAGTGCTCAAATAAATCACTTACACAATGTCTAAGATTCTGTCTATTGTTTTATAATTGAAAAACTATGCAGTGGTATGTATAATGACTAAAATAGTTTGTAGAACCCTTCAATACATTTGATAAATATTTTCCTCAAATGGGGGGGGGGGCTAGACATAGTCTCAGAAAAATGGTTGCAGGAATCTCATTTTTCATGGTATCTTCTTCAGATTTGAAATATAAACTATAATATGACTTTCAACCCATTACTTTTTTTTGGATTGCTCCAGGACTGATTTCATGTATTTTTATATGAAATTTAAAAAAAAATCAGTGTGGTACAATTTTTTTCAAGGCACTTCAGTGTCTATAACTTTTATCTTTATGAGCATTATCAACTCTGGATGATGGATAGTAGAGCCCAAAGGGTCTTCTTGCCAAAGACACCAAAATTGTGTGTAGCACACTGAAGTCAGGAACTGTTGCAATTTTAAGTTAGGTAGGTAATTTTCAGCTGTGAGTCCCAAAATGGGGGGTGCAGGTTAACAATTGGGCTAAATACCAGTGTTGTATAAACATAAATATTTAAAACGTACAGTGGGGAAAAAAAGTATTTAGTCAGCCACCAATTGTGCAAGTTCTCCCACTTAAAAAGATGAGAGAGGCCTGTAATTTTCATCATAGGTATACCTCAACTATGAGAGACAAAATGAGAAAAAAAAATCCAGAAAAGAGCCAGAAATCTTGCTTGTTTGTAGGTGACCAAATACTTATTTTACCGAGGAATTTACCAATTAATTCTTTAAAAAACCTACAATGTGATTTTCTGGATTTTTTTTCTCATTTTGTCTCTCATAGTTGAGGTATACCTATGATGAAAATTACAGGCCTCTCTCATCTTTTTAAGTGGGAGAACTTGCACAATTGGTGGCTGACTAAATACTTTTTTGCCCCACTGTATATACTAGTGAAGCTGGAATATATACTAGTAACTATCCCAGTTAAGCAAAAAACATTAGTATCTACTAAATAGTAAAACTGGAATATGAACCAGTAACAACTGGAATGCATACTAGTAGGAACTAGTAGTAAAGTGAAAATGATACTTGTCACTATTAGATTTATTACTAGTCATTTAAAAAATAATAATAGTAAAAAATAATAGTATATAAAATAATCAAAATAATAGTAAATCAAAATATTTAGTATAAAGTAGTGCTGGGCAACGATACATTTTTTTAAATTGCGATTAATCGCATGATTGCCTGTGATTAATCGCATTGTTTTGCACAAAATTCAATAATGCATTCAAAAGTAGTGTATTGTGCACTTTTTTCATTTTAAAGTACTACTATATTAACAAAAGTGCAATAACATTTGGTTTGCAAACACTTTAGGTGCTTTTTATAGCAGTATTCCTTTTACATATAGCAGTTAAAATATTTCTTGTAAATCTCAACTTATAACATTAACGTAATCAAATTAAATATAAAACAAGCTATTTGCCACTGCCAGAGCATTAACGTTTTACGTTTAACGATACGTGCAGCATGATTGCGTGAACATTTCTGAGCAGCAAGAGTGATTGATCTGTAAAGCAATATATTGTGAGAGGGCCATGTGTTACCGCGTCCCAAACGACTCAAAATAATAAACCACAAAGTTAAAAAAAACAATGCGTTCCACTGTTCTGAGAGAGAGCGCTTCTCTGCTGTCTTCACGTGCTATCGGAAACTTCCTTCCCACTTATGAAGTCGTAAGCGCTTCATGTGAATGCTGCAGCAGTCTTAGGCCAACCCCAAATGCTCTCATTGGTTGAGACGCGTGATGACACACCCCAAGCCAGTAATGATCAACATCCCACCCCTCCTGTGACCCATGGTTTGTCTGTATGTGTATTCAGAGCCAGTGAGCAACGGACTTTCATAATAATAAAAAACTGCGTTAACCTGCGATAAAATAATTGTCGGCGTTAATCAATTAATGCATTAACGCGACAATAACGCGTTAACTTGCCCAGCCCTAGTATAAAGCAATAAATGTTGATACAGCTTGCCATAATCAGAGCTGTGGAGTGAGTAAAGCGCTGTAGGCTGCGGCCAGCTGAAGAACAGGAGTCTTCTGCTCCATCAATTCACGACTCACGGCTAAAATAAGACATGCAACACCTTTAAAAACAGATGTAATGTGATATACAATCTCCGTGATATTCCTATTGATTTTGAAAAACAATCCACTGATGCGATTTTGTGACAAAACCTGTAAAATCCCAAATGATCGAAAATAACACATTACAAATGAACCCATTTTAATGTTCTAAAACGTCCTACTTTTTATCCATACGTCTCATCTGGGTCACAACATTCTGATGAATCTTAGGAATTAATATAGGCCTACCTGTTAATCTTCTGTTTGGCTTTAGTCTCCACGTACAGTGACTGGAATGCTGAAGCGGGTGGCGGAAGTAATTCGCAGGGAATTTTTCTGCTGGAAAATGATTAGGACTGCATAATGTCGGTTTTCTCCTAATGCTAGTTAGGCCTCAGCAACTGTGTGTTTCGTGTGTGAAACAAATCAAAACGATGTTATCATGAAGTAGGCTACAGAGCTACGTATGTCGCCCTCTGATCGTTAAGTGAGGATGGGAAGAAGCCTTTTCCAAGCTATTTCTGGTTTCAGTACACTTTGCTATTGGGAGGGGGAAAATATTTTGCGCCTTAAATGGTATAATTACCGACAGATGTAATAAGTCCAAATACTGTAAAGCTTTCAAATCAAGTACATGCCGTCGTTGTCTTTATACTGCGTTGCTTGATCCTCGCCTCTTTCCTCCCGAGTGTCGTCTTCCTCCGCCTTCTCGTTCTGGTCTCTTCGATTTGACCGTCGCTCCTCGTCCAAGAAATGACCAATTCAATACAAAGCGAGGCACCCCGTGGCCCTTTAAAGAAATTAAAATGAAGAAACCAAATTCGACTTGGTTATCTCTCCGGAGGAGCATACCCATCCATCAGTTCAAATGTGACTGTGCCAGCATAGGAGGCGGGGTGAATTCAACATAAGCAACAGTACAGTTGTTTTCTAAATAATTCAAATAATGTGCACTCACTCTGCTGTCAATTCAGTCCCATATGAAATCATTCGGTCTGCACCAGAAACACGTAGCATCACATATGCGCGATTCAACCACACCCATTTTATTGCGAATGTACCACTGCAGCGCAGACCTCCACCGCCAAACAGCGGCTCAGGGGGGTGAACAGCACCTCACACTGGAACACACTCGAGTTTAGGCCGCTAAAGCTAATATCTGTTCTGTGGTGAAATGTGGAGGCGAGAATAAGTAGATCTCAGTTTAAACGTTTGTGGGAAATGACAAATAAAGGAAGTGGAGAAAATAGTGACATTCTACAGAATTCCCCCTACGCGCTGCTCAATGACCACATGAATGCGCTCCTGAGCGGAGTGTTGCCAGGTCGCGCAAGAAAGCCCAAAATAGGCGACGTCCCCTAAGAAACATAGCGGAGCTGAGAAAGGAGAGCAAACTATAATAATGAATATAGCGATAGAGGGCGTGGCTCCAACAGTAGGTGTGGGTATTTGGAGCCATTAGTTGGTCACAGTTTGTCTTTTTATTCCAGATTTACTACTAACTTAATTAGGCTATAATTACTCACTAGTATGTTCTTTAGTAACTTTTAACTATTTAAATAGTTACTCGTTTTTATGCTAGTTTTACCTGGTACTAACTGAACAGACACTATAGTACTCATTATAAACATTATGATTGTGTTTTGGAGGCCAAGCACCAACCATAAAATAAATATTCTACTCTCTCTCTCTCTCTCTCTGTGTGTGTGTGTGTGTGTGTGTGTGTGTGAGAGAGAGAGAG